CAAAAAGAAGCTCTATAAAACTAAATTGAAACGCACATGTCACGTGCGGAAGCTTAAACCTGTACTTGGGACGTGTTTAGATTTAGGTTAAAATGTGATTAGCATAGTAAAACTGAACTTAACTTTTCACAGAAATCTTCTTTCTGCTTTAAAATCTCAAGAAATCAAAAGCTACTCAACTGCACACGTATGTATGTTGAAGCTGTAGTGTTACCTGACCAGTGAACTGGGCACGTGATGGCGAACAATATGCTTGGTAATGTTAAGCTAGACCCTGTGTGGGGAAACATTCCGCATTTGCTTGCAAATGGTGACCTTTTTTTAGTCTTTGAGATATTCTATAGAACAGCTCTGGCGCATGGCTTCTAGGCTTTTATGACGATTAGTTCTAGAACGGCTTTGTTGGTTTCATTCCAAACTTATTTCACGCTAACTGTACGTGTATGCGCGGGTTTGAGCTACATGTAAGTCTTTTCCGGCGGTTAAAATGGCACCCAGAGCAGTCAGGTCAGACCTGCCCTACCTGACTACATATTCCCAGGTTTACACTCGTACGAATGCCGTTTCTCTGCCTCCCATTCTGTACCGAGATTTACCGTCTTTAGTGCGGGGAGTGACTCGGCCTGACACCGACTGTGTGGTGCCGCCCGGGCCCAGACGCCGCCTGACACGGGAACGGCCTGTATGTGTGGGGCTCGGTACAACTGACGTGAACACACACAGGTTAGTAAGGCCACAGCAAGTCATTTTTATGGATGACATCAGCACGCGCATTAATTTTCGCTTGATTAAAAAAAAAAAAAAGAAATTTTGTTGCCTTCTGACAGTGGTCAACATGCCGAAAATGGGCAAAGATGACTGTTTCCATGCCGGAAGGTGGCTGGCAGATAACGATGAAGAGAGGAGACAAGAAAAGACTCTGATTTAACGTTTTGTTTCTTACTTTGATGCAGTGATATGTGATACTGGCTGTGTATATGTGATGTTCCCACTGAATCAAAACCATTTTACAATGATTGATTGAGTCAAAAGTTTAAATGTAGGAACCTTGTTTTTTTCGGCTCGCATTAGATTTGAAGTCTGCGGAGGATGTCATCCATAAAAATGACTTGTTGTGGCCTAATGGAGAATTTACATAAAGGTAGCACGTTTCTGTATGTTAACTTCAACATGCCATAATCTAATCTAAAAGGAACATAATTACGTCTAGCGGTCGGCTCTGTTAGGGAATAAACGAAGCGGATGGTATTTGACTAGAACGACATCCAAACTACACTTTCCTCTCAAATGTTTTCGTCTTACGTCTGCAGATACCTGGACTCCAAGCCGATAGTAAATTCCATCCCACCTCATGAGGCTGTGAGTGTGTTACCGAAACTTGTCCAGTCATCGAACATCTTACCTGATATAGCGGAGTCGACCAGCAAAATCCCGCCGGATGTTCTGAACCGCTTAAGCACAGACTTGCAATGGACCACCTCCTACAGACAGGCCGGAGAAGGATCCACCGCCGCACAGCAACAGGTACAGGTTCTACTGACCGTTAGGGGAGGGAGAGTGGCAGTCTTCCGGATCCAGAGATACCTCTAGAGCAACCACCATTTAAGCCCCGGTCACAACCCGCCGTGCGTGCTTTTTGTCCGTACGTATACGTTTTTTTGGGAGGCCATGTCTGCTACGTTTTTTTTTCTGAAAACGTACACATGCGAAGGGAGTGGCGTCTACGCACGTCACTCGCACGGTTGCGCAAGGTGTAAGAGTGTGGTCTGCACGCCACGTCTGACCGTGAGCGGTTGCGTGCATCGTACGTTGCGCAAGTGGTAAGTTAGTTGTACGTGATTACAACGTACGATCTCTGTGCGATTGCAACTTTACCGTAAGGAGGCCGTACTCACACGTGCGTCTTATGTAATCGTACGCCCGTACTCGCACGTACGGGTGGTGAATCCGCAGACCGCACGTAGAAATAAAGTGAGCTTTCTGACTAATTTGCTTTATCTCATCTAGACTTGTCTTACTTTTGTTCCCTTTTCGACTTCCCAAAAATGTGTATTCACTTCATCTGCATATCAAACAATATTTTGTGCTTATAAACCTGTCTCTTGAAAGTTTTGGTCCATTTTGGAGATTTTTGGGCTGGAAGGCACAGGTATAGGGTCTAAACTTCCCTACTTGAGTCAGGTTTTGTTTATTTCCCCAGTTTAGTGGACGTAGTGAGAGATGTGAGTGGTTAGGTCTTGTCTGGCCAGGCGGATGGATACCATGAAAAATTAGGTTGAGGTTTTGTTACTATTATCAGCTGTGGCGGGAATTTGAGATGGTTTACCCCCTGTTTCCTTTCTATTTTTGGGAATCAGACCCTTGTGGCTACTTGGTGCAGAAAAAAAATTGAGATTTGAGGTATGGGCAAGTACTTTCATGAGGACTTCTAATAGTGTATTTAAGCATGTGTTCCTATGACCAGATCTAATAGTACTGTCTGCCCTGAACACTAATTTCA